CCTATCAGAAGTGGGGTAGGTTGGGCACAGACTGGTGCAACTGGTAAATGAAGAACGACAAATTAGTACCATTTCCCATTTCCGCTTTCTCTCCAGAAATAAATAGGGGAAGTGACTGAACAAAAGCTTATAGTTATAAAGAATCTATTGGATTGAAAGACGGATCATCGTGATTGGGGTGCAATTGGTTAGCGTACCTGTGTATAACATCGCTTTATAATGGACAAATAACGTTAGAATTTAAAAAAACATTTCGCCAAGAAGAGGATGAGAATTTTATTCTATAATTCTCGATTTTTACATTTAGAGATCTTTATTAAATTTACGTTTGATCTATTGTAACTATAGTCTTCATGACTCACATTGAACTCTAAGATAAACAGCTTGACTACTGGATTCTCCCATTTGATTGGCAGCTCTGCATGTATACAGTCCTCCATCCCTCCTTGTTACTCTTTGTAAGACCAGGGATTTTGTGCTTATGAATACTCCTGATGATATGTTCTGACTCACTAGCATATCCTATACAATTTAACAATGTTAATATTTCTAAAACAAATAAATCATTGACGACTAATCTGTAAAAAAAGTCTGTCGCGCCCGGAGGCCCTATAACGCTCTCTATACCACGTTTCATTTAAAGTGGCACAAGATGTAAACAAATATGGCGACATGACAGTTTTAGTGATGGGAGATATTATTATGAATTTGATTAATTAAACTATCTCATTCATGTCATTCAGTGACTGACCTTTTCCATAAAACTTATCTTAAATGAATATAACTATGGTCAGAGTAGTATAATATACCTATAATAAATATTTAAAAATGCGTATATTATCATGACAACTAAACAAGTTTACTTTATTAAATACTACATATTAATTTAAAGCGAGAGTTTATGGGAAATAAATAGTCGGCAACCTTCTGGTGAATATTAAGTTTATTGGATTTTACTTCGTCGTTTGATCTCAGTTTCACAGTAAACAGTAAATTTACAGTTTAAATTTGCCTTAAATGATGCAACACAAATTTTGAACAATAAAGTACTATAGAGCGTTTGAATCTTTTTGTTTTCTTCTGAAATATTGCTCCTTAACATCGATCAAACCCTTTATTTTGCATGAAATTTATTTACTTTGAAATTAAAATTTTATTCGCTGTGTCTGACTTTAAAATATAACAAAATGGTGTTTTTCTAATCGCTGATCATTTTTATATACACAAATTTACTATTTTGACAAATCATTGACTTTCAGTGGGAAAAATATTTTAACCGATGACTATTTTATGATACTTAAGCGGAATAGCTTATCTTAAAAATACACATTAACCTAAATATAGTACAAAATTATATGTTATAGTACTGTTGGTAACCTTAGTCCAGACTGAGCGAACAAACGAACAACAGAACAACATGAGATTCGGTGTTTGTTGCCGCATGTCCCACACATTCGTTCGCCTTCGCGTCGTTTGGGACAATTCTCGTAGAAACAAACGACTAATTGGATTGCGGCCTTTCATTAACTGTACGCACAATAACTTGAATAAAAACTAGAAAATATTACAGTGCAGTAAATTTTTCATAGCAACAATTGCAACTGTGCATGACACAACTGTTGAAATTAATTCAGCATAAATTATTTCTTTCAAACTTTATTTTATTTCACCGTATTTTACTGAAGATGTAAATTTGTTTATTATTTTGACATATATTTACTACATAATACCATTTTTTATCAATTATTTCAATATGCCCGACTGAGTTGTTCTTTCAATCACTCATATATTGATATTTCTATGTCACTCATATGTTTTCAATCAATCATTTATATGTTCTCATCACTAGTTCTTTTTTTTCGAACTGTCAGTGGTACGCCAATTGTTAGTTTAGAGTGTATTATTATCGTGAAAACTGTGATTTTGATGTTTTAAGTGATGGATTATCACGAGTTAACAAATCAGTTTCGGTTGCATTTCATCGTTTGATCATTGCGAAAACTCCATAAATAGTTCCGGGGAGTTGTTTGTTTACATCATTCGCCACTTTAAATAGAACAAGGGTTGTTCCTGCGCCCGACGACATCCGTTTCATGGCTCTCCTAACGTATTTGTTAACATTACAAAGCTATTTTAAAGTTGTATTTATCTAGTGTTTCCTTACTAGCTAAATGCGACCTAATATCATAGCATATAAGTAAAGATTTAATAAGAAAAATTATCTATAGAAACCCTCCACGGTCTGCTCAAACCTATACAGCAGTTAAGACTGGCTTTTTATTTGGGTAAATTAGTTTCGCAGTTACAATCAACCGATCAAAACGTGATTAATGATACAGTAGCGCTACCATGAGTTGCTATCGAAAATTCTCATTACGTTACCGCAGTCGCTAGCGAATAAACGCACTTCGAATAGTATTCGATAGAAGTTGTACCATGAGTCACATTTACGTTTACTATACTCGCTAACGTTAACTCGAATATTCGAATAGTTTTTGTTACGTGACCGTGTTTGCGCCTAACTTCACTCCAAATGAAACTATCTCGTTCTAATTATGCTGAATAGAGTGAGAAAGGATGACTTTGGGCTAAAAACCGACTATTTAGATCTTCAAATTTAAAAAGTAAATGAAACCCTACTAATTTTAAGCGTCATTGATCATTCTCATAACGCGAAGTGTAACTGATTATTGAATTGATTCGGTTATTTCCGTGTTGTGACAAATCATTGAATATTTCTGTTTCTTGACTGGCGGTTGTTTTGGTAAATTGTGCATAATATCTAAACATTAAATGCTGAGTGGTGTATCACAAATACAGTTATTGGTTGAATATATGGAAAGGAATGTACTTCAATACAATTCTATTATATTATTTAATACCTAGAATATACTTTGTACAGTAAAATGTAGTCCTCCAGTTTTTTTAGACGAAATATTTGTTTGAGTGTTCAGATAAAGTTAAGGAATGCTGAGTGCTCTTTATTTGGTTAAGATAAATGTTAGCGGGACTTTAATAATATAATACATTGTTTTTTGTAATTTATCAAACATACAAATTTTAAAATGACGCATTTTATGAAATTTTTGAAATATAGTAAGAATATACAACCTAATCCAATGCTATCGATCTAACCCTGTTCATTTATTTAAACATTCATTTATTTATTTTTGTTGTTATCCGTATCACGTATCCCTTTTCAATGTTTTAACAGAAATGGTGACCTTAGTAAACCAAAAAACTCCTTATTAAGCCTATATTATTTGATAAAATTATTCTCACTAATATTTCTCATATCCGCTTCAAATTTTCTCTGTTCTCGTTGTTTGTCTTCATATACAGCTTATGATACATATAGTGCCTAGTTCACATTATTTGGGTCAATAATAACTGAAAATAATCTATTAAACAATACTCTAACAAGAGTAATAAGTTTTCACGCTACGTTTTGCAAGTGAGAGAGTTAACTACAGTCGCTACGGTATTTCTCGATGACGTTTATCAAATTTGTAACTCATGGTACCGATGTTCTATGGGATAAGCTACGAAACGTAAAAAACGTTAGTCGCTAGCGATTGGCTTTCGATAGGTAAATTTACTATAGGACTCATACTAGCAATCTTTAGTTTCACAAGTGACCGCTAGGAGCGCTGTACAGTTCTCCATACAAATCATTTACGCAGTCGCTAGCGAGTACGGTCATTGTAAACTCATGGTAACGCTACAGGAAATAGGACTTTGTTTAGTAATGACTGACCTAGAAACGAACGCAGACGAAATTGCCTGTAATCACCACACAGAAGAAAGATATACATATTATATTTGAGTTATTTTGCATTCACAATGCTATACATATGTACATACTGGAAAATATTCTTAATGAAAAATGTTTAAAAAATCCACCTTGGCCAGATACTCTGAGATGGGATGGGGCTTCGCAATCCCCATGGGGTTCGAGTCCCATCTCGGATTAACTGAGGCTGGTGGATCTTTTAAGCTTTTTTGATTAGGAAAGAAATACATAGCGAGGTATAAATAACATTTGTTGACTCACTCACGTTGTGAAACCAAGAGATGCGGTGTTCCTTTGGGTTAGCCTTAATATTGCATTCGAAATAAACGTCGTCCCCTTCTTTAATGTCGTTTGGGTTTAAAGTACTACCCAAAGACATTGTTAGTACCGGTTTATCTGAAAGAAAATTATTGCAGATTTCTCATAGAAAACAATATTATTGTTAGAATGAATATCTTGGATGTAATGATGAAAGAAATAAAAATAGACTTTATTAATTTAAGCATGTTATTGAAAGTATCTTTGAATCATCCAAAACAAAAAGATAATTTTCGAACCTCCGCATTTTATAATCCTATAAATCCTTTTGGTTGAGTATTTATACAAAAATTGGGTTTGAGTTTGTATTAGAGATGGGCAGATCACGCGTTTATTGCTAGTGAATCGATAACTAATGAGCTATTTTTACACGATTGAATTACTTGGTTAAATTGTCAGATGTCCTGTTTATTTATATTATATGTCATCATTTTATACACAAACATATTAATATAGCTTTACAAACCAGACTTTTGTCTCTTTAATTTGTGTGACTAGATTCGTCAAAATTCCAAAGTCCATAATTCCTCAATGTCAGCTTAATGTTGACTGAAACTTAACTAATACGCATAACATTTGGGGTAGATAGTCATAGTTGAAATCCATCCTTCAAATCAGCGTCTGATTTGACCAGATTAGATCTATGCAGCATCAGACTGAGTGATTATTAACCCGTTTACTTACTAAAGCGCTAGTTTGACAGTTTTTGACTAAGAACTTCTGTTCTATTTTTAAATGAAACTAAAAATAGTTCTTATTTATAACTTTTAAAAATGACCATGGAATTTGAATTTTTTATCTGTATTTTACAATGAAAACAAATGACTATCTATCACGTCCCTAAACTCATTTAAATCAAGAGGTTGTCATACTCCATTGCAAACTTTTCTCACTGACAGTTATGGATCCACGCGAACTTTTCTAATCCGATCGAAAACTCGCTCTCAGGGAATTGATGAGCAACGCCTACAATTAATTGTAAATGAAAAACATTATCCTTTAGTTCTGTAAGTGAAAGCATCGTTTGCAAAGTTAGATGGCCCCCAAGAAATCTCAAAATTACACTTAAAAAGGAAATAGAAAAAGTTTTTCAAGTTGACAACAGTAACCTTTCCTCTTCATCGATAACAAAGACACTTCTTCGTATGTTATCGATTTCTAATGTATCTTTACGACCTAATTTTGTACTGGGCTTGCACTCTAAAACATTCATTCGATGTGTCGTTGACTGTTTCATTCTCTGTCCCACTCTAATTTCCTTTTTTTAATGTAAAGGAATGGGACAGGGCATATTGAAGTTCGCGATATATCTTAAAATTGGTTTCAAGAGTACAGCCCCTGTAAGTCTCTAGATATCGTTTTTACGATCTTCGTAACTCGTGAGATATCTTAAAGAACGGGTCCTGCGAATTTCTGGGTGTTATCTGTAGTTTATTTTATAGCCTATTTTAGTTTTTTACCCTCAAGCTGGTTGAAAAGTTACCTATTTATCATTCAACTGTTATCATTTATTTAAGTAAGTTTCTGAATATCACTTACAAATAACACTTATTCTAAAGGAATCTTCTAGTGCCACGCTCAGTACAGCATTTTCAGCTCTGCATCTTATAACCACTCCATCATCTTCTGGTTGTGGTAGCATAGTTAGTCTACTAACTGTTGTAGTCTCATTTGTGTAAATATGGTGCTGTTAGATAAAAATATAAAAGAAATCATTAATCACGTCTTTTATATTATGCGACAGAAAGTACTCATTTTATTTACGGTTATTTTTTATTAGGAAAGGTAAAATATCCAATTCCTTTTAAGTTGTTGACAATGAAGTTCCAAATTGCTTACATAAATTTGTATTTTCACTTGATCTGCTACTGAATATACAATAGCGGTAATGAGAGTGTTTTTAGGAAAAGTATCTTCCATAAAATCTTCTTCACTAAGTTTTACATCACGAAAATTTTATTAGATTTTTTTTCTGGGAATTGATTATATCCTAGAAAGCGACTTAACTTAATTCGTAAATCCAAATTTTTACTCACCTTTCCTCTAGTATATTTTCTGTTCTCTCTGTACCAGGTAATTTGTGCAGGCGGTCTACTACCATGTGAAACGCAGATCAACGTAACTTCGGTATCAGCTGACATCTGACCTGGCTTGTTTGTGATCATCACTGAAGTCGGTTTTACTGGAAGCAAATAAGTATACTAAAGCAGAGTCGTCAGAGATTTTGTTAGAGGAAACTTAGATTTTGCAGAATATTTCTTAGAATCAGATAAGTAAGATCTGGCAGTTCGTATGATACGAGAACATTAGTTAAAAGGTAAGACTATATTTTGATTTTAACCACTGGGTGTAACGTCTGAGTAGATGCAGGAGAACAGTGTAATTCTGAAATGTCAAGAACTTGTATATAATGTATATCCTTTTGGATGGCAAAGTATACCCCAAATGATATTGTGAATCATTGTAACCGCAGACCAAATCTATTAATTTCGAATATATGATAAAAATGTTTTATATAATCAGTCTTGTAATTAATAATCATAAAGTGCACATTCAATGGTCTGGGTTTTTGTCCTAGTCACATTAAAAGGGGGTTAAGAGGAATCCAGATCTGGATTACCACGTTTGACTTTTCAAAATTTTGCTTTCTACACAGTAATGTAGACAAGCCATATAAAGAGCTAATGATTTGATATTGCAGAATATTTCATTCCATGTAGTTACGTTTTCTTTTTTTTTATATTTTACCTACTATGATCATAGTTCTTTTATATCATCACTACAAAATATTAGCTTTTGTTTTAGTTCTATTTTTGTATTGTATTTTTATTTGTATTTGAATTGTATTTTTTTACTGTGTACTTTATTTGTACTGTGTTGTTTTTTTTTGTCAAATAAATATCTAGTCTGTTTTAAAATACTTACATCTCATTTCGACCCTGGCAGTCCTTTCGTGAGGACTCAATAGTGGCGTGTTAGTTGCTTGACACCTGATGCTAGTATTCAGCCAACTCCTCTCTGCTCCTCCTACGCTGATTCTGCTTATGATGATCTTGCCATCATTCTTCAAAACAGTATGGTCCTCCAGAGGTTTATTATTGATAAGCCAAGTCAGAGTTGGTTGCGGTCGGCCTTTAGACAAAAAATTAAATACAACTAAAACGATTATCAACATAATGTTCGCTAATCAAAATTCCTGTAATAACTGAGAAAGACTTTACTAGCATTAAATTTAGCAGATATTGTACTTGTTAGTTTTAATCGTAATGAGAGTGCATGTGTTTGCCAGCCTAGAATAGCACCAGACCCTTCTAGTCTCATGGGTGTTTTACAAGGCGACTAAGGGAATACAGCCATTAGAAGATGGATAGCAGCGTTTCATCGTCCACAAGTTCCTTGTAAACAACGTGATTACCATTGGAAGTGTGTCGACCAGGGTAACACACCTGATATTCAGAATATCAAATCGGTATTCGTTGAATGTCATACAGGTTTATGCTCCGACTCAACGCACTCAGATGATGAAATGAAGGCTATGTATGAGGAGATCTCAAAAGCCATGCATAGTAACAATGCCCACTACACGGTTATAATGGGCAACTTTAACGAGAAGATGGAACGGGTGCCGGAACGGGTGTTTGGGCAGCGTTTGGGAAGCTACGAAAAATCTGTCCAAATTACCACAGTGTTTCAAAACCAAAGTTTTCGATTAGTGTGTGTGCCAGTGATGACTTACGGAAGCGAAACTCACTCTGGGTTTCGCAAAGCTTGGTATTTCTCTACGTGATCGAATTAGGAATGAGGGGATCCATAGGAGAACTAACGTAACTGACATTGCTCTAAGAATTGCTCAGCTGAAGTGGCAGTGGGTGGGACACATAGCAAGAAGAACTGATCGCTGTTAGGGCAGAAGAGTTCTCGAATGGAAACCACGTACCGGATGACGCTCAGTGAGTACGCCTCCCATTAGGTGGGCCGACGATCTTATAAAGGTTGTGGGAAGCCGTTGGATGCGGGCAACGCAGGACCGATCGTCGTGGAGATCTATGGGGGAGGCCTATGCTCAGCAGTGGGTGTCTTACGGCTGATGATGATAATGAGGGTGCATTTTCATTAGTCGATAGGGCCCGATTGCAAGATATGGGAGATGACAAAGAGATCACAAACTTAGTAATTTTCACTTGTTTACAGTGCCTATTTATGTAGGTTTGTTAAGAGTGAAATGGAAAAAATAGGATCATTATTATGGAATGCGCGGCACAATGGCTACATTCTCTACATGCTCTTTTTGTCGCAATCTGAAAACATAACTTATGGTTTATTTATGGTGTGGACAATCAAAAATGAGCTATATATAGACAGTTAGATTCATTAAATATTTTTCATTAAAACTACACCTACACTAAAAATTATACTTTCAAGTAGCTTTATGCAAATTTTTTAAAATGAGAAAATTTCGTCATATTTGTTAACGCGACTATTAATATAATTAAATACGTAATTCGCCATTTTTTTCCGATCAAATAGATAGGGAAAATATTGTCTTCCACTCATAAGATGAAAATCAATATTGTATTGTGAATATAAAACTCAAATACCTATATTAATTAAATATCTTTGATGTTTCCAGGATTAATGCAAATACTGCCACGTATTAATCGTCATTCGATTTATCCGACCGCAGTTTCAAATATGAAATTGAAATGAAAAAAAAAGATATATAAAAAATTTGTGGAAAAGTTATAAATTTTAACGAGATATCGTAAATATCGGGAGATTGCCTTAATCCCGGAGTGTGCGTCGGGAGCTTGGCGTGCTATTATGCTGAAATTTTTCTCGCATAAGTGAGTTATCGAGTTTCGCCAACTTCCCAAAGAAAGTAACGGAATACGTCACTGCTCAGCTTGTTAGTGTGTGTGTATTTAATGAGGTGAGTTAAAAAAGGATGTTTTTAATTTTAAAAGTTAATAAGATATTTAAGTAAGGTGCTTGGTAGCGCTGGAGTTAGTGCATTTAGTCTGCGAGACGGTTGTTAAGCAACTTTTGCAAGGGCCGGCCAAAGGATGAGTGACAGTTCTTCCGTGCTTCGAAAGGCACGTTAAGCTGATATGCCTGGCAGCTACTACAGTTATTAACCCCCACTACACCAACTAAAGTGCATCTCCTTATTCGACTCGATTCCATCCATAGGAAAGGGCTGTACTTCAACAGTGAAGAGAATAATTAGACTATTTATTGATGATGATATCTATTATAAGAGTTTTATCTTGAAGGAAAATGTTTAAAAACTTCACCAGTTCTATCCCATAAAATTAAAATAAACAAGAAGGGACATATGACATCTAATGGGTGCAGATCTTGTTATATTGTTGTTGTGATATATTATCAAAGTTCAAATGAAAATTAAAATGACGTTATTAATGATAATAAGAATTTCGTAAACAACGATGTCATTTTGTTTACCAAATTCTTTTTATCTTTTTATTATATTCATCAATTTTGTATTCTCAGTGCTTTATTAAAAAATATTCGTAATGAAAAATGCTTATAAAATCCACTATGTCGCAATCCGGACTACTGCTCTAACCATTGAGATACATAAGATCCAACAGGACTGCAAATTTTACATTCGCTATTAATGAAAATATTTTCGTTCCCTGAAAATTTATGAAAATACTCTCATTAGTAGCCAATGTAAAATTTGCAGTCCTGTTGGGTCTTATGTATCTCAATGGTTAGGAATATTTTTTTTCCAGTGCAAAAATTTTTTTTGGTGGTTCAGTATCAGTAATAGAACACTTTTCCATAATTAGTTAAAAAAAAATTTATTAATATTTTTATCCCTATCGAAACGGTAGAATATGGACACATTTTTTAAAATAAAACTTCAATGAAAACGTCTTCTCTTGCGTATGCCACCGTGCAACCCCGCCGCGCCCGGTAGCCCCCCGCCACAGCCCCCACCGCCCCGCCGGGACCGAGCGACGCGCGCGACAGTGAGACTCATACGCACGCGCCGATGTGACGTGTCCTCGCGTTCCCGCGCACGCGACGCGCCCGCCGTCGTGAGTTTTACGAGATGTACGAGTTTATCTTTTGAGTGGTGAGAACCTACATAAGCGCAATTCGGAGAAAGTTATGCGACGAAGAGCATACCTCGTATGCGGGCCTTTGGGATCCATAACCCCGCGGTCCCTAATGCTTCGAACCATTTTAACAGACGAAGTCCCAGAGTCAGTACCCACGATGCGGCATATCTCTTTGGTGTGAGCCAGCCTGCGGTATTGAAGCTGCTAAAAACAGCCGGACTCCATCCGTACCACTTTCAGCCGGTTCAGCAGTTCCATGACCTAGACCCAATACCACGTCGAGCCTTATGTGAGTGGCTTCTACATCACCGCGATGCAAACATCTTGTAGACGGATGAGGCATTGTTCACAAGTGAGGGACTGTTTCTTATGGGAAGAAGTCAAACGCCGAGATGTAGAGGAGGCACAAAGTCTAGAAGACAACAATAAAAAATAATAACGCTTTCAGTGAAGTGAAAAGTGACACTAGTGTTTTAAACAAATTAAATGACAATTTAATGAAATGTGCACGTTTATGTCTGGACAGACGTGGACTTCATTTTGAACAAATATTAAAATACATGGTAAGTAATTAGTTAGGTATTTGTTTTGATTCAACATTATTGTAAATACGTAGTTGATTCTAATTTTTTTAAATACGCCTTAACGCAGAAATACCTATGTAACTTCGACATAACGTTAATATTTTTTTCTAGGTAACGAATTTGTTTCTCTTTTATTTTTTTGCATTTTGATGGCCTTAACCATAAAAGTATGAAGGGAAAATTGGAATTACTCTTAGAAAACACCTCAGATCATGGCATAAAATCTAGTTCGAATCTAACAAAATGAGCGTTCAGTGACCCGTGTAGATAGGTACCTACGAGTACATGCCTACGGCGGCGTCGAGCGAGCGCTCAGCTGACGCACGGCGCGCGATGTCCATAAATGAAGTTTTAAAATCTCGATCTTTGATAAGCGATAACTTTATTTTTTAGTATTAGAACATATCAAAATAAAAAATACGTGTTTATTTAAATTACTTAAAGTTTATTTTCACAAAATCTTCGCAGTGGTTTTAAATTATTCCTGTATATATTGGGAGCCTGTCTGTTATTAAAGTTTTATATTTGCAGAAAACCTAGCTGTGGCAGTTTGACTCGCACTTGACATATTTTTTAATAACGTGGATTGGCGTGGTGCGATGCGATATGCGAGAAATCAATATTCATTTTTTTATACTTGATGCTTTATTATTTTACATTTTCAGCTGAAAAAATAAAGGCTGTGAAATTGCTCGACGCCTGCCATAGGTTTAAATTGTAAAAAAAAACTTTCTTTCACAGACGATTTTGAAACAACAATTACGATTTCCGAGAAAAACGCAGTTTTTCTTTATATAAACTAAATGAGAGACTTAGTGGCGCTATTTAGTCTGAGTTTATGCAAAGTGAGCGGCGGTCAAAGGATAGCTGACTATAAATTTATTATAGGGCACGTTTTGAGTAGCTCGGTAGCGTAGAGGATAAGTGCTGTGGTCCACGAACGTTGTTGTTAAGCAACTTTGGCAAGGATCAGTCACGGGATGGGTAACCAAAAAATTATCATCTCAAATTACTCCGTGCTTTGAACGCCACGTTAAACCGTTGGTGGCGGTTGCTTTTGTAGATGATAATACCTTCCAATCTGCCTAGTATCATGGCCTCCTCTTTAACCATCCATAAGGAACGCCTAAGCCCCTGTAGTAAGTCATCAAAATCGGTTCAGTAATTACGAAGATACAAACTATTAAAATTTAAGCCATTTATAAAAGTAATAATTTGACAGACTTATATGAACGAGTAAAAATATGATGAATTTTTTTAACCGACTTCAAAAAAGGAAGCCCTCTATTTACCTGTCTATGACGTCATTTAGCGGCTTCAAAAAAGATGCTACCTATTTAACATGTATGTTTTTAAACATCTCAAAAGAAATGAGGTTATCAATTTGACCTATATGTATGAAATTTTGGAACACGGCGCAGTATTCATATTTGTAGGTGTACATTATTTATGTGTGTCTATATGTTTTGACAACGTATTTCTCGTAAATTAGACATTGGATT